CACTCAGGTTAGATTTGGAGTGATGGATATAATAAACAACGTAACGAAAATAGGAATGGTTTTTTTTTATGGACAATAATTACATTTGTGAGAATGAGAATGGTTTTGATTGAGTGGAAGATGCTTAAATTGAAAAAAAAGAAAATGAGGAAAATTTTGCATTTATAAGACAAATATAAAAAAAATACAAAATGAGTTAAGAAGACTCCGTTTATTAATAAAGGTAATAATTGCTAGGCCTAACCATGGAAACACCGGTGGAACACGACACCTGCCTAAACTGTTCTTCAGAAACTGTCAAGAGATCAAAACTAGTAATGCTACCCTCTGAAATCAAAATAAATATAATTAGTTTTATATGTTGAACTACAAATATTGTGAATAATTCAAAAATACCTTCAAATATTTGCAGCAAAGCATTTGGAAACTCCATATCAGACAGCAACTCTTCCATTAATGTGTTTGTGACGCCATATCGCATTTTTTTTCATACCTGTAAATCACGTAAATCCATTTCACGTAAGCGCAAACACACTCACACAAACGTAATATTGATGTGAATAATTCGTCACTTTTTAGCGGCAGTGGTGGTGTAGTGGTAAGCGTGATCACCTCTCACCCCAGCCAGCAGGCCTGGGTTTAATCCCAGTCGGCGCCGCCGGGATGTTCTGCGGCATTACATCTCTGATCACGGGGAAGTAAAGCCGTTGGTCCCCGGTTCATGAGTTGATGGGTCGATAGGTAGGGTCCAGGTGTGGGAGCTGCCTTCCTGGCGTCGGTAGCATTGGTGCTCAGCACGGAAAGCACGATCGTCAGAAAACAAATCAAGGAAAAAAAACTTCACCTTCATCACCAGCTCTAGTAAACATGACATGAAATGTCTGTCAGTTTTACTACCAAAACGTAATATTGGAAATAGAAGCATGAAGAGCGAAAGTGGTGGATAAAAAAAATAAAAAAAAGGTTGTAAGATTCCCAGCGTACAGTTCCCGATTGATTATTTCGGCTAATGTACTGAAGTACAGACGTGCTAGACCTAACCATGGAAACACCGGTGGAACACGACACATGGGACAGTCCTCCGGAAGATCCTTAAAAATGAACCTGGATGGCCATTGGAACGTCCTCCAGAAGATCCTGATCATCCGTAAAAGTGGATCATCGATGAAACTGTGAATAAACCGTGGTTTTTTTTTCGAAAACTCTTGGAACTGTGATTTAAGATAGAATTTAGGGTCGTGACATAAACATGGATCCGGATGGCCATGAGACTGTCCTCCAAAAGATTCGGAACATCGGTAAATTTATCATACTGTGAAACTGATCCTAGAGCTCTGCAGTTCTTTTTTAAACACTGTGATATAAGAAACCTCTGGATCACTTTTACGGATGTTCCGTATCTTCCGGAGGACGGTCCTATGGCCATCCAGGTCCGTGTTTTTTATCTTTATTAAGGAGCCTTGGGCTGGTTCGTCTCCGGTACGTGTTTATGCCATGACCCCGAATTCTTTCTTATATCAGAGTTCCACATGCTTTCGAAAAAACCGTAGAACTCTAGGATCAGTTTCAAGGATTGACCATTTTTAAAGATGTTCTAGATCTTGCGGAGGATGGTCCCATGGCCTTCTAGTTACATGTTTATGTCACGACCGCAAATTAATTTATATATGACAGTTCCAAGTGATTTCGAAAAAACCGTGGAGCTCTAGGGTCAGTTTCATACAATGACCACTTTTACAGAATTTTCGAATCTTGCGGAGGACGGTCCGATGGCCATCTGGGTCCATGTTTATGTCACGATCCCAAAATCATTCTAATATCGCAGTTCCTAACGTTTTCACGAAAACCACGGAGCTCTCGGATCAGTTTCGTGAATTTTCCACTTTCACGGATGTTCCGGATCTTTCGGAGGACGGTCCCATACCCATCAAGGTCCATTTTTATGTCACGACCCCAAATTCATTCTATCATCTCAGTTCTTAGTGTTTTTTTTCAAAAACTGCGGAGCTCTAGGATCATTTTGTTTGCTTGAGCACTTTCACAGATGTTCCGGATCTTCCGGAGGATGGTCCTATGGACGCTCAGGTTCATGTTTATGTCACAAGCCCAAATTCTTTCTATCATCACAGTTCCTTATGTTTAAAAAAAAACGCGGAGCTCTAGGATCAGGAGAGTGGATTTACCACTTTTACGGATGTTCCGGATCTTCCGGAGGACGGTCTCATGGCCATCAAGGTCCATGACCCAAATTCATTCTTATATCACAGATCCTAATGTTAAAAAAATGCGTAACTCTAGGATCAGTTTCATGGATTGAACACTTTTACGGATGTTCCGGATCTTGCAAACTTGCCGTTACACGTTTTTCGGAGGCTTCGTAGTCGGCGTAAAGTTTTTTACCCACCGTATTCGGAGTGTTAACGAGAAACAACCGTGTTCTTCTTCCGTTCTTATTTTTGGATTAATTATCCCATAGTTGAATTATCGTTTCCTAAATGTATAATAGTGTCAAATTAAACGTTACTTCACATGAGAATCAAGCGTATTACACCTTTATACCATCACTGTTTAAGGAAGCAATGATGTCTAATAAACGCTGAATAATCAAAAAATTGATCGAATATGCTCTGTAACAACTCATGTAATTCGAATAAAAGCTTCTCGACATACCTTATACTATAACACTAAGTAGTTCAAAGCTATGGTTGAATAAATTCTCCAGATTTGTGTGAACATTTAGTTATAATTAAAAATAGTATAAGTATTATCCAGCATGCAGTTGAATAAAGTCTTCAAGAAGTCTTTTCTTCAATAGGCAATCGTTTGTTTGGTTCCCAGCTATTTTCACTCAAATTAACGGCGCCGGTGGTGTAGTGGTAAGCGTGATTACCTCTCACCCCAGCAGGCCTGGGTTCAATCCCAGTCGACGCCGCCGGGATGTTCTGAGGCATAACATCTCTGATCACGCCTTCCTTCGGATGGAAAGTAAAGCCGTTGGTCTCCGGTTCATGAGTTGATGGGTCGATAGGTAGGGCCCAGGTGTGGGAGCTGCCTTCCTGGCACGTCGGTAGCATTGGTGCTCAGCACGAAAAACAAGATCGACGGAAAAAAACAAACCAAAGGAATTAAAAAAAGCTATTTTCAGCACACAGATCGATGGAAGAAGCAATTATCTACCTTCTAATATACATAACACGACAAGAAACGGTTCTGTACCCAAGTTATTAACGAAAGAGAAAATCTATGAAGAGAATCGATCTATGTTATTTAGGACCTAATGCATTTTTCAGATTGAAATAGGAGGACCACATAATGGTTGCTGCTGAGTAAACAGATGAACGCGTGACACACATCGAGAGTGGCCTGCTTCTGTTGACAGCCTAGTGAACACTGCTTTTAAGATTAGTTTTGAGCTTATTTTGAAGTTGACGCTGGTTATGAAGGTAGAGTTGCTTATTTTGCTAGTTAATGCGGATGTATTTTTTCCTCTACACGTTAGTTCGCAGTTTGCAAAGCTTTTTCAAAACAGCCCGTTTAGATGTTTCAAACGAGGGTTGGACCATGGAGGGTGAGTTGGTACGAACTGATAGATTACATAAACAACAATATTCGCAAAAAATAGTCGATCACGTCACGATCACGCAGTTCTTCATTCCAATTTATGGTCTCGAAAAATGCAGTCATTCCATCGAAGTCAGCCTTCCAGTAGTCATATGAAATGCTATCCAAGGTGTTACGAAAAGAAAATGAGAGAGTCACTTTAGAGCAAAATCCAAAAAGGCGTTTTCGTATAATATCAAAATAAATATTTTGGCAAAGTTGAAATCGGTGACATTGACCACAACTCACTATATCACTCACACGTGACAACCCGATCCCTGTGATATTCGAAATAATTACCAGCAGCTCCATTTTCTAACATTTTTATTAAATTCGTTTGCTTTCGCATTTGTTTACACATACACAGGTTCCAATAAATTTCAATTACATTTGTGCGGATGTTAGAATAAGATTTTCGTTTCCTTTCGTATCGTTGTAACGTTTTCGCTTAAGTTTCTAGCTTTTAGTTTAACTTTTTCCTGCTTTACGTCTCGAACTGAGATACAAGAAAACATTGCTCTGCATTTGAAGATTTAGTTTTAGCAATTACAAGTATTGTTTTTATGCTTGAAGTTCAGTGCTTGACTACTATGCTGCTAGTGTTGACAATGTTCAATCGCATCAAAGTTCATAACTTATAAACGATTCATCCTTAATGTGTTGTTTTCGTTGCTTAAATAAAAATTAAAATACATGCTTCATTCAAATCGACTTACGTTAGAAGGAGAAATTGATAGACCATAGGAAAGACCGAAGGAGAAGTACCCATCACCTGACTTAGTTTGAACAGTTCTTGTGCAAATGTTTAACAATTGGACGGAAGGTTTCTTTCATTTGAATTGGATTGAAAATAGTTAAACTCTAATAGACAGAGGTACTCGGTTCCATCGAGGGACATGTAATGGAGAAATACAATGGTGATTAGATTTCTCCAAACCATGCTTCGAGGGAGCCTTGTGTGTCGACCTAGGAGGTCGTCCTCTGCGATATTAGTGGACAATCTGTAGGTAAGGAACTTTTTAAATAATTCATTGTCCGGTAATATCTGAAAGCGGGTTTAAGTAGCTAAGTTTTAGAAAACTTGTTTAAGTTTCACTCCAAACTTGGGATATAATACTCTCGTAGATGTCTTGTAGTTTTCTATACCAATAAAGTGAGGCTTTCTAGTATTAAAAGTACCTATTTCCACTAGTTGGCACGTTTACCCTATGAAATTTGCGCATGTTCCCTTGGACGAATTGTTTCGTCACACAAAATAGATCGTTGTTTTGTTAGTTTTCAGTTAAAAAGGAAGAATCACAGTAGTCACACGTTCTAGTACTCGAGATTACCACTCTAATAACATATCCTATCACACTCGGTTTGTTTTAAGTTCACGAACACACACACGCACGCCGCTATTGTTTGCTTCGTCTCGTTTTAGCTGCTATGCGAGAAGGCAGTGTTGGTATAGGGGCCGCTGTAGATCGAGCTTCCCGAGTTGGAGATGGTCTTGCCGCTTCGTCTGGCCACGATGCACATCACCGCGAGAACGACGGCCAACATCAGACAGAGACCGGCAATGGCTATGGCAACAGCGAAGCTTCTCTGGGATACGCAGATGGCGTCGTCCGGCGTCTAAAATGGGAAGGGAAATGTTGGCTGTAAAACTCTCAAGTTCGGGTGCTGAAAATGAAGGTTACCTTCTCCTTGAACACTGAATCGGCATCGTCGTTGAGTACTTCAGCATTCTCGTTTACGTACAATCCGGAGAAGACTTCTATAGTTGCCGGCAGTCCTTCATCGTCCGCTTGCCGCTTCGGTCGCCTGTTGCTTCTACCGGTACAGGTCGGGATCTGTAAAAACATGTGTTATAAGTATTGTGTCCCATTCAGCAAGTTGATGATTCATACCTTATGACAGTCAGGATCTCCCAAAGCACACAGTTTCACGTTGCATTGATAGTATACAGAGTTGGTGTACGGGAACTTGTGTGCCGGGAACGTCACCGTGGCCTTGGTTTGATCTTCCGTATATTCAAACGGGCCCAAGATCTCATTGTCCAACGGGCATCCCTCGTCGCTGATCAGTCTTTGTTCACCCCAGCCGAGACCATCGCGAACCAAACAATCGGTTACGTGCAAACCATACAGATTTTGCTTATCAATGTTGATAACCAAAGTGAGTGGATCTCCGATCTTTACATTCTCCGCCAGTTTCTCCCCTGTGAAAATCTTCATATGACATGCGGGCATTGGCTTAACCTCTTCCTCCTGAACCGCATGATCCTTGTCCATCGACCTACCGTACTCCCGTCGGTCGGTACCCTCGGCACTGGTCAATGCCAGCGGTCGGCTGTCGTCACGTGGCTTCAAAGGCTTCATCGCTGCCTCACGGCTCTTGTAGCTGCATCGAACGTGATAGCCACGGCCCAGGTCCGTAACGAGCTTCAGATGTGGCTGTAGAACGATCGTGTTGAAGAACTCGATTCCACCATCATCCTGAAATTAAGTTGAAGAAGAAAAACTATGTTATCTAATTGCCTATTGACCTAGGACAGAGAGCAAATTTGCACGTAATTTGCATGAACGGAGCGAAACAATATTTAAATTAGATCGATGACGTAAGCAATTTTTTGCCGAGCTACCAGATCGAACCTGCCGTGCAAAATGTGCTTTAATAAGTGAAGAATCACATCGTTTGAATGTGATGATGATCATCGCGAGCAAGTCATCACCAATGTAGGCGAACTGGACCAGCCCATCAGAAGTGGGAAGAAACCACTTGAGAGCCAGGAATTGGAGAAACCGTTTAAGAGTGATTGATGAATTAACAAAATAGAATAAAATTTATTCGGAACGCCGGACGGTAAGGGCCACTTAATACCGTTACACAAAGTTAGTTGGTTGGCAACAGAATGCTTGACATATAATTTGGGAAACTCGAGAAACTGTACATGCGTGAAGTGCCTTCTTAACAAATTCCATTCGTAATTTGTGCCTTGCTATCGATCAAGTCTTCAAGTCACATTGTCACATTATCATACAGTCACATTGAAGCATATGATTTTGATGTGAAAGTAGAAATCTGAGGTAAGAATTAAAAAAAAAAAAAAGTTTATTTGTTTTAGTAACCTATTGTTTTGCTGTACGTCTGTTAAAGTTTTACCCTAGGTAAAAGCTGTTTTATTCGATTGCTTAGAAACCAACCTTTCATCTTTCTATTTATATTATATTACTTACAGAAATATCTCATGGTAGGGTGTTAATGTCCCTAATGTTGGCAGCAACCAAACATAATAATTTGCAATGATTAGAAAAAAAAAATAAGAACAGGAGATTTTTATCGATGATTCCAAATTTATATCCATAGGCCACCATTAGAGCCATTTTCCCTATCTATTTCAGCTACTAAAGAATATGTTTAAGATTTTCTGTAATATGGCCTTAAAATTTTCTTTATAGCACTTTTTTCTTTTTCTTCGATTTGTTTTTGGTACCGACGCCAGGGAGGCAGCTCCCACACCTGGACCCTACATATCAACTCATGGAACGAGGACCAACGGCTATACTACTAGTAGACGTGATCAGAGATTTTGTGCCTCAGAAAATCCCGGCGGCGCCAACTGTGATTGAGCCCAGGCCTTTTGGGGTGAGAGGTAATTACGCTTACCCCTACACCACCGGCGTCACTGTTTTTTAGCGCTTCTCATCAGAAAAAAATCATCCAATTCCTAATCATTAAGCACGGAACTCGATTATTTTTAGCACAGTTTTAGCTTCAGAATAGCTCATACTGGTAAGAATTATGCAGCTAAAACAGGCTTATTTAACAGTAAACTAACTGAATTGTTTTTTGGGAAATACTTTCTTCGAGTATTTCTCACAAATCACTTAAGTAGCATACCCTTCTGAAAATTCTCCACAAAATAGCCTTGGAGCTCTTCTTTGAATAATAATAAAATTCTCCACAGATTTATCCTATGAAATCTCTAGGAACTCTACTTAGCTCTCCAAGCAACATTATCTTCCAATTTTGCAACAACTATCAACAATCAAATTTTCTTTCGATATAAATAAATTTCCCTATAAACTTATCTATATTCTTGCACTTGACACAGAGGTATACATTTCTTAAGTTTTCAGATAAATGATAAGTTACCATAGCCTGACATAAGCCAGAATCCATAATGGGACAACTCAAATAACATGAGCGTCTGTTTTATAGAACCATTGGCAATTGGAAGATACATTGAGTACCCAGGACCACATTGGACACAGCCGGATAATTGGTAAATCAGGTACATCAGAGGAAGTGATCAGAAACTGTCTTAGGCCAAAACCGATGCATACAATCACATAAGAGTTCACAATCTAAATATTTTTTTCCTTGATTTGTTTTCCGTTGATCTTGTTTTCCGTACTGAGTATTTAGGGTCATTAGGGTGTCCAAAAAATTTGTTCGGGTGGTCCAAAAAAGCTTTTTTTTTTCAAAAATGGCTTCTTTTTTAAATTTATAACTTTTGAACCACTGGGTCGATTTTAAAGATCAAAATATCAAATGAAATGTAATTAAAATTATTTGTTGGAAATTATAATGATTTAAAAAAATAAGATTTTATTGCTGAGAAAAATAAACAAAACATGTTTTATTTATTTATTTTAATTAAAAAAAAATACACGTATAAACCCGTACATCTCAAAATATTTCTGCACGATTTAAATGAAATATCACACAAAAAGCTTACGGAAAATGCAAACTTATGGAATGTTTAAAACCTTGAACACTTAATAACTGAAAAAAAAAAACGTAGAAACTTTTCTTAAAATTTTTGAACTATTTTTAGTACGGTTTTTTAGAATTTTTTCTCAGAAAATTATTTAATATGTCTCAAACATTTTTTTGAGCATAAATTACATGAATTTTTTTTTTAAAAGAATGTTAAAAAGATGGACCATAAGTTCTTGTTCTACAATTTTACCTTATTTTTAATTGTTCATTAGTTTATATATTGCACATACCTATTTGTATTTTTATGTTTTTATATTTTTTGAAAAAAAATCAGGCAAGAACATTTTGAGATATTTAGCTTTTTTTTATTTTTACTTGAATTCACAGAACAAAACAAAATTTTGTGTGTTTTTCCAAGAAAAGCAAAGATCCAAAATGACCGAGTTTAAGCAAAACTGTGAATCATTAATTGAATAATAATACGTATACGAGTTTTGTTCATTTAAATCAAATATATAAATGTGTATTAGACCTCTTTATTTTAACAGAAATAGCAAAGTTTAATGTGTTATCAACCAACTTTGTGACCAAAGGTTGACTATTCAAAGTGATTTTATTGAAGTTTGACTTAGTTTCATGCTCGAAGATATCTTAAAAAGTGAAGAATTTTAAAGTATTTGATCTACGAACTTTCGACCCATCTGATATAAAAATTTGTAGTCTACGGCATTATACTGTTCTAGAAGTTTCATTCAAACATAGTTTTCGTGTAGATTCCAGAAATTGAGAGGTAAAAATCATAGCTAAAATTCATAAGACAACAGAGCCAATAAAAGTTTTAATTATATTGACAGACCATAGTTGTAGTATTCATAGCATAGTATTCAGTGTTGGGAAAATATCAAAAAATCAAATTTCACAAACGCCCAAGATCACGCTTGATTTTTGTAGACAAAAATCAACAAACAAACAACTGCTGTTGATTTTGCAAGCTGTGATATCGCAGCTCGGAATATCAAGCGAACAAAACTCACCAGCTGCAAATTTCAACAAACTGTGGTGAGATTGAGTTTAATGATTTTTGCATTACACCCGAATGCAACCGAAACTTCCATAACGGCTGGCAGCAGTCACTTCGAGTCTGCCATCGGTGAAGAGTAAAAAGAGATAGCAAACTATACTTTCTCTTTCTAAGAAAACGATGTGTAACGAAATCATTTTTGTGTCGAGTCAACTCTCAGCTTGATTTTTGCCCGTTGTGAATAGTCTCGCAATATCAAAGGAGCTGTAAAATCAATATCAAGCATGATATTTTGTTCCAATATCACGCGTGATATTGCGAGCGCATTAGAGCGGAAAAATATCAATTGATTTCTGATTTTGCCAACACTGGTTGCATTGCTTTTCAATGACGACCAATGACTGTTTCATTGATAGATGATATGTTTAGAAATATGAATCCTCAGTAGACGTGTTTTTTTTTTATCAAAGGCAAGTGTCACTCGAGCCATCCAAAATGTTCGTTATTTTTTAAATTGCTACAATAGCTCGCGTGACACTTGCCTTTGATAAAAAAAACACGTCTACTGAGGATTCATATTTCTAAAAAAAAATCATCTATCAATGAAACAGTCATCGGTCGTCATTGAAAAGCAATGTATGTTCTGTCAATCTAATTGAAAGTTTTATTGGCTCTGTTGTCTTGTGAATTTCAGCTATAACGGCCTCTTTTATGATTTTTATCTCTCAATCTATGGAATCTACACGAAAACTATGTTTGAAAAAAATTCTAGAACAGTATAAGAATCATTATGCCGTAGACTACACATTTTTTATATCATATGGTTGGAAACCCAACTAACAATTTTCACAATGTAAACGCTTTACTCATTTCATTTATACAGCCTCAAGCTGTATTCAAACGTTATACGATATGAGGAAACCTTTACTCAACCTCTATTCAAGCAAATCTGGCGAACTTAGTCAGCTACTTATGGCTGTTGGAACGGTCGGGAGAAGCTCTTATTGCATATCCATTAACGCTTCTATACAGCTTTTATCCTGCTGTTTAGTTGTGTGTGAACTGGAAACGCGCTTATTCAACCTTTTCCCGGTTTATCCAATAATAACTACACAGCTTTCTCTTGAAGCCGGGTTAAATACTGTTTACGCTTTTTTATGAAGGAATTTATTGAGTTTATTTTGCTGTGAGAATCAAATTAATCGAAATTAGTTACAAATCATCACCAAATTATTTACCCTGCACCGGAACCTGGAATCGAACTCGAGACGACTTCATTGGCAAACCTTGACACTACCAACTGTGCTACGCCAACACTTTGAACTTATGTAAACAAATCAACATTCCCTTCTACAGCAAAATCGCTGAGTAGAGGCTTTATAATACTGCACATGAATCACTTTTCTCGACTAATTATAAAAGAGCAGAGTTAAAGCTGTAAAACTGCACACATCCAAAAATAAACCTAGTTGACTGTGAAAATGCTTCTGAAGTTGCTAAGCTGAGTACAGGTTGTTTAGTTGTTGAAAAATTACTTTTGATGTTTATGTTATTCAGCAAGAGTGGTTGGTTGTGTAGAAGCCATCAAATGAGTAATATATTCACTTTGTTAGCTTTGTTTTGCAGCTACAAGTTGAAAGTTGATTAGTGTGTATATGGAAGTGACATTAGCGTTTATTGGCTGATGTTATTGAATAATGGTTGTGAGAAAGTTGAGTAAATGCTCTCCAAAACTTTATTGCTAGCTTT